GGGGGGGGGCTCGCAGAGCATCTGGGTGAGAAGGAGACAGGTGGACAGAGTCCAGCGTGAACCCACGCTCTGCTCTCCACGAGGTGAAAGGTCAGTGGGTGAGCAGCTTGGGCTTCCAGGCCTTGTGGGCTGTCGCAGCTGAGGGGCAATCAGCAGGCTGTGCAGCTGGCAGTGGGCTGGCTCTGGGTCCCCGAAGACCCATTCACAAAGCACTCAGGGGCGCCTTCGGGGTTCAGGCTGGCATGGCAGTGTTTTCTGCCCCTGGTGCAAGAGGAGGCACCCAGACCGGGGCTGGGGCTTGGCAGAGGCCGGGCACGCCAGGGGCTTGCCGTCCGCCTCTGAGCCTCCGTTCCTCCGTCTCTCAAACGAGTATGATGACGCCCTATTTGCCCAGAGACTAGGTCTAAAGAGGTCGGATCAAGTCGGAGCTCTTTTCATGACTGGAGGAGAGCCCGCACTCCCTGCCCAGGCCATGCCCTCGTCTGCTGAGGGCTGATGGAAGGGTAGTGTCTGCAGTGGATTCTTGGTGTGGCTTTCTAACCTCAGCCCCAAGTGACCCCATTTCCGCAGCAAGCCAAGCCTAGGCGCAGCCAGGAATCCCTTTCCACCGTCCGGTCCTTGGCAGGAGGCTGCCATGGTGCGCGGCAGTGGCTGGTGGCCAGGCGTTGGCAGAAGCCTGGGAGGCACTGGCTGGGCCTAGAGTTAGGCAGGGTGAGCCCCAGTGACCCCCAGATCATTCGCCTCTAGCCCTGACTTCTCTGGGGTGCAAGTCAAGCGGCATGGCTGTGGTCTGCGGGCGACGCCCAGCCCCCCTCGCGTCGTGGGTCTTTCCTGAGCCGACCTGCCCACTGTCTGGACAGACACCCCTGAAAATGTGCTTGCCCCCTCCCCTCCCTCCCTCCCTCTTCTTCCCATCTTTTCTCCTTCTCATGGATACTTTGTGCAGGCGAGGCAGGCTCTGCTTTGACATCCTTCCATCAAGGTTCTTGCCCCATATTTCCAGAAAAGCCCCAATCAGGAGTCTGCATAGCACCCTAAAAAGGCAGCCTCCTCAGCCTCTCCTTCTCCCTCCCAGGAGGTCACCCTGTATGAAATTTCTGGAAAAGATGCATCTGCTCTTCTCTGACAGAGAAGAGATTGAGGGGCGATGCCTCTCCAGATCCCCAATAAAGCTATGAGAGACAGGGCTAGGGATCTCACGGCTTGTTCTGGCTATAAAAAGCCCTTTTTCGGAAAAAATAATAAAGAAAGAAATCAACCAATCCCTCCTCGATGCCATCACCTCTTCTTGGTGATTTTTCGGGGAAGGAGTGGGCGGGTTGCCATGGCGACAGATTCGGAGAGAACTCGTTTCAGTAAAGAAGGGACCTTGATATTTTTTTCTCTCATTCTCTCTCTCAGTTGTGTGTGTGCGCGCGTGCGTTTGCCCACACCAGGAATTTTTTTTTAGAACTAAAGAAAGCCCTTCTCTTCCCTTAGCTCCCCAAATATGGAGTGATGGAAAACCACTTACTCCTGCAGGCCAGGGAGGATGCAGGACGGTTCGAGAGAAGCAGGAGAGGTTACGTGGGGTTCCCTTCCTCCATATTGCACTGTAGATTGCATACAACAGAGGGCGCTTCCCAAATGGCTGGGGCCGAGCACTGGAGGAGGGAAGATGTTGGTGACTGCGAATCAGGGGGTGCAAGGGTCCAGCAAATGACTCCAGTGGGGGCAACGGAAGGTGATGGGGGGATGCTGTACGCAAACCCACACCCTCAGACGCTGGGAGAGAAAGGCACAGAGAAGACTCAGCTGTGGAACAAACACCTATTAACAGAGAGGTACACAGAAATCTGCACAGATGAAGACCTACAGACACAAACATAGAACTCCACACAGCACAGACGTCAGGCTTTTTTTTACAAAGGTAGACACAGGCAAGTGCATAGACACACTGCATTGTTGCAAATGCATAGAGGGGTTCAGGAACACAGACGCACAGCTGCAAAGACAGGCACAGACAGACAGACAGACAGACATGCACGGCCTCACAGTCTGGCTCCCTCCCTCCCTCCCTCCGCCTGCACCGCACCCCCAGTTCAGTGCATAGCTCACGCGGGGTGTGCCATGAGTGCCTCCCGCTCCTCCCACCCCTTCTACACACTCACCCCAAAGCCCCTCTCCCAATTCTCTCCTTTGCCCCACTTTCCCATAGCCAATGCACTCTGATACCTCCCCCATCTCAGCTTCCAATTCTTAGTCTGTTCGATGCTGCTGCTGCTGCCACTGGGGGGAGCGAGGTGACTCAGCCAGGCCAGGATGACTCACTCTGCCAGTATTTTTAGCAGCGGCCAGGAGCTCTCTAGCGTGCCAGCCGCCCCCCTCCTCCTGCTTGCTATTTTGGAACCATCACTGGTGATATAAATAGCGCCTCTCCCACGGCCTGAAGCTGCTGCCAACCTATTTTTGGTTCTGCACAGTTAAAAATAGCTCCGTGGAGGTGGGAGGCAAGGGGAGTGGGAGCTGGCCTAGGGAGAGGAGACAGCGGGGCACACAGAGCTTCTCAACTTGAGTCAGAGTGGGTGAGTTAGGATGAGCCCTTCTCTGCCCCCTCCCTTGTCCCCTTCTAGACCCTTCTTCCCTTCCAGAGTGCCTCACCCCACCCCCACCCCAGTCCATTCTCCTTGGAAAAATCCAAGAACTCAACCATTGAGCCCAGTTCTCCTTACTTGCTTCACTTCTAGGGCTCAGAAATCTTGGACCTCTGGATCCCCATCCCACACCCTCAGAAAAGGAATAGCCAGGAGGGGTCTCACTCTGAGACATGTGTGGACTTCAGCTCTGCTTCACTATTCCAGGACTTCCACAGTATGACTTTCCAGGCGACTGTTTCAGAACCACGGACAGCGCTCAGCGTGTCCGTTCCCTATTTTTGTCACTGCTCAGCTTGCTGGAGGCCAGTGAGACCCCACCAACAGATACCTCCTGTCATGGAGAGAGGCTCCAAGAATGCCTCCCAGCAAGAAGTAAAACACGAATGTTCATACAAGAAGGGGTTCCAGAGATCAAGGGTTTCTCCGAACAGAAGATTGAGGGAGGGGTAGGCAGGGGTCACGGAGATATGAAAGTAGGGCAGAGATGTAACTCCTGAAGGAACCATTTCTCTGTCACCCAGGTCAGTGGGATTGGAGACAGTGACAGACAGACAGACAGACACACCCCTTTCTTCCATCCTGTTATGCCTCTCAACCCCTGCCAAAATGGCACAAAAGGTCAGGACTGTGCTCCCAGGTCCTCGTCTCGAACACCCTTCTCTTCAGTTGCCTCTTCTCTCCCACTTGGCTCTTCTCTGCACCTCTTTCCATGAGCAGTAAAAAATTCCTTGATCCCAAGTCTTTCTTCTTCTTGTCAAAGTTTATGTCCTCCTTTCCTTTGTGACTTTCCACAATCTGCACAGTCCTTCTCCAACCCAACCCCCAGTTTGCATACCCCCCTCAGTGTTCTCATTTTTAGTCCCTCACCAAATGAGATTTCAAATAAAATGTCCTTTAGCTCACTTCTCCTTTTAGGGAATCCTGGAGGAAAGGAAGGCACCCATCAGCCCCCCTAGAGAGAGCAATCATTTATGGTGCAAGAGGGAAAAAAAAAAAAAAGCCAGGAAGGTAGACAGACTACCTGAGGTGGAGACAGAGAGGGGGCGTTTGAGGGGTGGGATGTAGGGGGTGCACAAGGCTAGATGGCCCCCCGGCAGGCAAATAGACCAGAAACTAGCTGAGGTGAAGGGAGAAAGGACGTGGAGAGCTGAAGGTGGAGAGACAGCCGGTGGAGTTCCCCTGCGGAAGATGGGGAGCGGGTGAGGAGGCCAGCGTATGTTAGTTAAAGGGTCCCCGGCAGGTGCAGGGGTCCCACGGGGACCAGCACGCCCCCCTGGCTTTTCTTGGGTTTCCTCATCTTCCCAGCCGGAGGCGGTGGGGAGGGAGCCCTCCGGAGCGGTGCGGAGGCAGGCAGGCCCCGCCCGGCGCGGCGGCGGCAGCAGCGAGGATTCCTGTCCTAATATGGAGCTGGGATTCCCCGGCCCCGCCCCCGCCCCCGGCCCGCGGGGAGAAGGCGGCCTGCACCGGGCGGGGGGAACGGCCGGCTCCGCGGGCTGGCGGGGGGCGGGGGAGGGAGTAGGGACGTCTAGGTCAGACTGAGATCTTCCTCGCCCAGGGGCCCTGCCTCAGTTTCCCCATCAGTGTTGGTGTTAATTAGCTGACGGGGAATGAAGGCACTGAGGACTACCCCGGTGCTGATGTTCCTATTCTTGGCTGTGGGAAAACAGAGCCAAGACCAAATCAGCGGGCTGTCTTTCCCAGGACCCCCATTCCATCCCTTTCTCGGGGCTGGGCCCCCCTGTGACTTCCCCTGTTTGACCACCAAGACCCAGGTTTGCAGAGTGGGGGTTGGTCTTTGAAAGTGACTAAGGGAATCCCAGGTTGGGTAGTCCCTAGAGAGAAACCCTAGCTCTGACCTATGCCACAGAGGCCAAGGAAAGACCTTGTCCCCACCCCCACGTGAACATGATCTCTGGAAGGCAAATATTGAGGGGGGTTATGTGCATGACCCTGCTCCTCCTCATCCCCTTGCCTCTGGAGAGAAATATTGGAAGCAGCCCCTTCCTGCCCTCTGCAGACTCTCCTGCCAGGGCCTTCAGACCAACACAACCTTTGTCCAGTCACTTTCCTCCGAGCGCACTCGGACACCTGGGTCTCTGCACAGCCTCTCAAGCCTGCTGGAGGCAGCGCCTGCTTCTCAGCTCAGCTGCCGCCAGCCACGGCCCCCTCCGCAGCCTCCGTTCTCCCCCTCCCTTCATCCCCCCTCCCGCTCTCATTCTACGTCATGAGATGACGTCGGAAGCCTGGGAGGGAGGAGGAGCGCCCCCCCCTCCCCAGCCAGCAGCTCCCGCTGCAGTTTGCTTAGCCCAGCCTCCCTCTTTCCCGCCCCCCCTTCTCTAAGCGAGCCCCCCACGCCTGCCAGGAGCTATATAAGCCGGAACCAGGCAGCCGAGGGGGGCAGCGCAGCCGAGCGGAGCCCAGGAGAGGAGAGAGAGAGCCTGAGCGAGAGACGGGGAAGCAAGGAAGAGGAAGCCACCGGCGCGTCGGGACAGGAACGCAGGTGTTCGGAGCGCCCGAGCTGGAGCTCCGCAGCCGCCAGACATGTACCGCTCCACCAAGGGCGCCTCCAAGGCACGCCGGGACCAGATCAACGCCGAGATCCGGAACCTCAAGGAGCTGCTGCCTCTGGCCGAAGCGGACAAGGTCCGGCTGTCCTACCTGCACATCATGAGCCTTGCCTGCATCTACACTCGCAAAGGCGTCTTCTTCGCTGGAGGTGAGCAAACTGGGGTTGCCAGAGACCTGAAATGGCAGGTACCAGAGATAACGGAACTGAGGGAACCCACTGGGACTGCCTCATGTCGAGGGCAGCATGTTGGCTAGCTGGGGAGAGAAGGGACTTGGAGAACTCAAGACTTCCTACTTTTTCTTCCCGAGCTCTCTCCAGACCTCACCTTAGTTCTGAAATGAGGGTTAGAGAGCCTGACCCGAGACTTTAGGGAGGCGGAGAATGGCCCCAGTCCCTAGCAGCGCAGCGGCGCTCCCGGAACTCGGGGAGCGAAGCCCGGGAAGTTGCAGGGATGCAGCCGCCAAAGCTTGGGGAAGAACCGCGGCGGTTCGCCTTGCGGGAAGGACTCTTGAGCCGCCTTTGGGGCGCTGTCCGCGGTGCTGACAGAACCACCGTGGGTGTGTGTGCGAGGCGCTGTCCGCGGTGCCGAAACGCTGTTTCTTTAGAGCGCTGTCCGTGGTTCTGAACCCCAGGTCGACGGAAGTTGGGGTCCCAATTTAGAAGTCAAGGGTTTGCTCACTGGGGAGATCCAGCAACAGGTTCCCTGGGAAAGAGCTGTGGGAAGCGGGTCAACAGGTGTGTGGATTCCTCTGAATTTTCTGGGACTCAGCCCAGGTTTTCCTTACTTCTGTTTTGACCCCCAGTCTTTCTCCTGACTCATCTTGCCCTCTCATCCTGCAGGTACTCCTCTGGCTGGCCCCACAGGACTTCTCTCAGCCCAAGAGCTGGAAGACATCGTGGCAGCACTACCTGGCTTCCTGCTTGTATTCACAGCTGAGGGGAAGCTGTTATATCTGTCTGAGAGTGTGAGCGAGCATCTGGGCCACTCCATGGTGAGTGCTAAGAGTCCTCTCAACTTGTATTGAGGCACAAATGGGAAGCAATGAGATTTGCACTTCTGAGACTCTGACAATTACTGGGGAAGGGGTATATTCCCGAAAGGGGCCTAACCCTTGTGTTGGGATTGTCCTTGGTTGCCTTCACTAATGGACTTCTTTTCTTTCTGTTCCTCAGGTGGACCTGGTTGCCCAGGGTGACAGTATCTACGACATCATTGACCCAGCTGACCACCTAACTGTGCGCCAGCAACTCACCCTACACTCTGCTCTGGACACGGGTAAAATCTCCCTTCTCCCTTCCTCATCCCACTCTCCCTCCTGCTGCCCTGCTCTTTAGTCTTCCACCCTCATCAATTTTTCTCTTTGCCCTCTTAGATCGCCTCTTCCGCTGTCGATTCAACACATCCAAATCTCTCAGGCGCCAGAGTGCAGGCAACAAATTGGTACTTATTCGAGGCCGATTCCACGCTCACCCGCCTGGAGCCTACTGGGCAGGAAACCCTGTGTTCACAGCTTTCTGTGCCCCACTGGAAGCAAGACCCCGCCCTGGCCCTGGCCCTGGCCCTGGCCCTGGCCCTGCCTCACTCTTCCTGGCCATGTTCCAGAGTCATCATGCTAAGGACCTGGCCCTACTGGACATCTCTGAGAGGTAAGCTCAGGGTATTCAGGCTCCAGGAGGAAGGCAGACTAGAGATGAGGGGACCCTAGATTCTGGAGTCAGGGGCAGGGAGGATGGGGGCTGAGGGTTGAAAGGACTGGGGGGAGTGAGATGTTGGGGCATCAAGCAGGATAAACAGAAAGCTGACCTCCCCCTTTCCACTTTCCCAGTGTCCTAATCTACCTGGGCTATGAGCGCAGTGAACTGCTCTGTAAATCATGGTATGGACTCCTGCACCCCGAGGACCTGGGCCACGCTTCTGCTCAACACTACCGTCTGTGTGAGTGTCCAGAGAGTCTGGGGCCAGGGCAGAGAGCTGGGCAAAGGCATGGGAGATCCGATCAGATGGGCCAAGACTACTGTGGAGATCCCAGAGATCAACAGTTAGGATGCTGTGGAGTGAATGTCAGGATGAGAATAGAATCAGAACTGGGAACTCCCAAGTGGTGAGGTCAAGGTGGGGAACTGAGGGGTGCAGGTTAGGTAGTCAGCAAAGAGGACATAATGGATACCCCAGTTCAGTGGAGAGGCTAGCAAGGGGGGAGTTAGGTGTTGTCATCTGATGAGCATACTAACTCTGCACCTTTTGTCCCCCCAGTGGCTGAGAGTGGCGATACTCAGGCAGAGATGGTGGTGAGACTGCAGGCCAAGCTCGGAGGCTGGGCATGGATTTATTGCCTTTTATACTCAGAAGGTCTGGAGGGCCCCATTACTGCCAATAACTATCCCATCAGGTGAGCAGCCAGGCAGGGTTCCTGGGGCACAGAGAGACACAAATCAGGGAACTGCTGGGGAGTGGACACCAAACTCTTACCAGCTGTTTCTCCTCCCTCGCCAGTGACACGGAAGCCTGGAGCCTCCGCCAGCAACTGAACTCTGAGAATACCCAGGCAGCTTATGTCCTGGGCACCCCGACTCTGCTGCCCTCATTGCCTGAGAACATCCTCTCCCAGGAGCAGCGCGCCAGCCCTAACCCACTCTTTGCCCCAGCCCTGGGGGCTCCCAGAAGCACCAGCTTCCCCAGCGCTCCTGAACTGGGTGCTGTTTCAGCATCAGAAGAGCTTCCCCGACCCTCCAAAGAGCTGGGCTTCGGTTACCTGGCACTCCCGTCTGGCATCGAGCCCTCTCTTCAAGCAGACCTGAGCAAAGATCTAGTGTGCACGCCTCCCTACACACCCCACCAACTGGGAGGCTGTGCCTTTCTCTTCAGCCTCCACGAGCCTTTCCAGACCCACTTGCCCACCCCATCCAGCTCTCTCCAAGAACAGTTGACTCCAAGCACCGCGACCTTCTCTGATCAACTGACACCCAGCAGTGCGACCTTCCCAGACCCACTGACTCACCCACTGCAAGGCCAGCTGACTGAAAGCGCAGCCCGAAGCTATGAAGACCAGTTGACTCCCTGCGCCTCAACTTTCCCAGACCAGCTGCTTCCCAGTGCTGCCACCTTCCCAGAGCCACTGGGCAGTCCTGCCCATGAGCAACTGACCCCTCCTAGCACCGCGTTCCAAGCTCACCTGAGCAGCCCCAGCCAGACTTTCCCGGAGCAGCTGAGCCCCAACCCCACCAAGACTTACTTTGCCCAGGAAGGATGCAGTTTTCTCTATGAGAAGTTGCCCCCGAGCCCTAGCAGCCCTGGTAATGGGGACTGCACACTCCTGGCCTTAGCCCAGCTCCGGGGCCCCCTCTCTGTGGATGTCCCCCTGGTGCCCGAAGGCCTGCTCACGCCTGAGGCCTCTCCGGTCAAGCAGAGCTTCTTCCACTATTCTGAGAAGGAGCAGAATGAGATAGACCGCCTCATCCGGCAGATCAGTCAGCTGGCCCAGGGCATGGACAGGCCCTTCTCGGCTGAGGCTGGCACAGGAGGGCTGGAGCCGCTTGGAGGGCTGGAGCCCCTGGACCCCAACCTGTCCCTGTCGGGGGCTGGACCCCCGGTGCTCAGCCTGGACCTGAAGCCCTGGAAGTGCCAGGAGCTGGACTTCCTGGCCGACCCCGGCAGCACATTCCTGGAAGAGGCGCCCGTGGAAGACATCTTCATGGATCTCTCAGCCCCAGACCCCAGTGGGGAGTGGGGTGCTGGGGATCCTGAGGGGGTCCCAGGAGGGACCCCATCGCCTTGCAACAATCTGTCCCCAGAAGACCACAGCTTCCTGGAGGACCTGGCTACATATGAAACCGCCTTTGAGACAGGTGTCTCAGCGTTCCCCTGTGATGGGTTTACTGATGAGTTGCATCAACTCCAGAGCCAAGTTCAAGACAGCTTCCATGAAGGTGAGTGCAGCTGAAACACCCAAGAACCAGTCCCTGTCCCTCCCTGACATGCTGGGTGGAACTAGATGAGGAAACCGCCCCCCCAGGCTTCCCAATGGGTGACACCACCACTGAGGGGTGGTGGTAGTAGCAGCTCTAGTCTCGGGGTCCTTCTGGACAGGCAGCCTGGAGGCCACCCTGAGGGCTCCTTGGGACAAGAGCTAGGGAGCCCTTGGGCGAAGTTTCGTGCTAGTTAACTCTGGGAGGTGCCTGGACCAGCTGTCACCCCCTCCCACTTTACAAAGGGAGACAACAAGGCCTAGGATTTCAGAACCTGCCAGGAGTCCCACAGCAGGTGATGAGAGAGGGCCCAGACCTCCAGCTCAGTATTCTTGTCCCTGCAGGGAATCCAGGCAGGGTTTTGTGCGAGTCTGGGAAAGAGAGTAAAACTCAGCCCAGGCCCCAGCCTGGCTTCCCTGCCAGAACTCCAGCTTTCCAAAACGAAAGCATAGTCTTTCCGTCTGTCCAAGGCTCTCCCCTCGCTGTGAGTCCCCGGCGATCACCCAGTCCCCGGACAGGATCATGCTGTGTGGCCCAGCACCCCCACCCCCAGCCCATGCACCCTCTTTCCTAGTGGACCTTGCTGACTGCTGACTGCTCTGTCTGCTCTCTCCCCCCGCCCCTGCAGATGGAAGTGGAGGGGAACCAACGTTTTGAATAAGTCTGTGACTTAACGTCGTCGAGTATGGCATATTGTCATCAAGACGTGGAGCCGCTCTCCACCCCCCCAGGACTGTTGGGGGGACTCTGGGGGCCGGAGGGGGATATATCTGATTCCCTGGGCCCTTCAGGATTGAGGGGGGAGGTGGGAGGGCAAGGGAGGGGAGCTTCTTTTTAAAACTTAGAGACTTCGAGCGATCCCAGTTTCCATTTCAATCTGTATTCACTCGTAGTGAGTGTCCTTGAATGGGACTTCAAGCGGAGAATGGGGGAGTCTCACTTCCCCGCCCCGCGCTGCCCATGGGCCTGGGCCAGTTCTCCACTCCCGGGGGCCAAGCCACCCCTGGGCCTCGGTGGGGGAAAGGCCGCGCCCAGCGGGCCAGCCTGTGCCCTGAGGGGCTCTTGACACCCACGTAGAATTCTCTACACACCAGTAACGGGATTTCAATTCCGATGGACTCTGCCGCCCTGGCGGCCTTTCTGTGACTTTTGCGCCCCGCGCCTGGGGTGAGGGGCGCGAAGAGACGCTACATTCCTTTCCGATGGAGGAAGGCAGACCGGCCGCGTCACACGCGTGCTTGCCCGAGGCGTGTACCTGGTGCGGGTCTCACCCAGCTGCCACATGGCCTGGGCCTGCCCGGGCGGCCACCTCGTGGTGCTGCGGTGACTTTGTAGCCAACTTTATAATAAAGTCCAGTTTGCCTTTTTGGTAGCTCTGGTGTGGTGCCCTGCTGAGGAAAGGGAGGTGGGGACTTGAAAGGTTGGGAGGCCCAGGTGGGGGTTCCGGGCAGGAGGTGAAGTGTGGGCCTGCTCACAGCCCCGCACACCCCCACTCGCCCCCAGCCATTCATTCAACGCCCTGTGAGGTGCGGGGCTCTCCCTGTGCTCCGAGCTGGAGAATTTGGAGCTGAACAGATGCCACATTTGGCATTTGAGGTGCTCTGTGGCCCAGCACTCGGGGCAGCGGCGCCCGCTCCCTGCCCCACGCAGTGCTCACATGGGGTTGGGGGTTGGGGCTGGCATTTCCTGGGCACGGTTTGAAGTGTCAGGGACATCAGTTTCTTTCTCCAGGCTGGTCCTACAGAGAAGCAGCTTCCTTGCAGGGCCTTGGCGTTGGGCAATTATCTTCATTATCCTTGCAGGAGGTTCTCAGCCGCTAACACTTGTGGGTCCCTTACTCATTGCAACGAAGCCTCTCTGGGTAGGTCTGTCACTTCACTGAGAAAGAAACAGGATCACAGTAAAAAGGGGCTCGTCCCCACGGTGGTGAGCAATCACAGGTGCATACCATCTGTGATCTCTGCTCCCCAAATCAGCGACCATCACCTCAAGCTGTCCCATCTGGATTATCCAAGAACAACCTGACAGGTGTGGGATCGTCTTCCCTCCCTGCGTGAGCTGGCCCAGCACATTTCCAAGCAGAGTATAACTCGGTGGGTCCAGTGAACAGGGCTCCAGACTGCAGGTGATGGGGGGAGATGAAAACCAGGAGACAGAAAGAGCTGGGCTCAAACCTGCTTCCACTGAGTATCACTGAGAGGAGCAGACCTCGGTTTCACACAGGTGAAATGGGGCTCATAAAAATGGCTCCGGGCTCCCACGGTGCTGTGAGGGTTCAATCTGGTCTCTTCATAAAAGGAACACAGGGCAGACTTCAGTTAGTTGGGCAACTCAGAAGGAATGGGAGACACGGACACTGAGGTAGCAGTTTTCAAAGACAAGCCCCAGGCCCTCCGCTTCCCCCACTGGAATTTGGGGACTGGATTCTGGGACCTGAGGGTACAGCACCAGCAACTCCCTGGAGGTAAGTGAAGGGAGCCAGGCTTTCTGCGTCCCCACCACTGGCCTCTGTGGCTACCACCTGTGGCGTCGCCCTCCTAGTTTGCATGGACACCGGGCCGAGACCAGGCTGGGGGTATACACTCACCTGACTTTGCACACCTGGGCCAGGAAGCAGGTGTAAGTGCAGTCACCTGTGCCTGCCAAAGGGTGAGGGAGAAAAGGGCAGTGGCACTCGAAGCGACATGCGGCTGACGGCATACTGCCAGAGGGTGCTCTCTCCCTGGCTGCCCTGTCCCCGATGCAGCATTAAAGGCCTGTAGAACCACCCCAATGCCTCCAACATTCTCTTTTCACCTGCAAGCGCCAGCCATGAACTACCCAGCCTGGGACGGCTGCACAGCACCCTTAAACCACTTCCCATCCTGGGCCCCCCCGCTCTTCGGCTCTGTCCTGCAAAGGGCTTGTTAGCAGCAAGACGGGCACGGAGCTGTCACCCCTTTGCCACCTTGGACAGACTCATGGGTGAATAGCTGGGCAAAGTCCGTCTCTCTGCCTCCCTCACATGTTGGTCTCCAGCTTGGACAGAGAGCTGAATTGTGGGCCCCATGAGGACACTGTCTTAGCCCCGCTCCACCCCTGCCCCAAGAGGGCTCTGTCTGGCACAGCAGGAATATTTTTTCAACATTTATTTATTTGTGCACATAGAAATGGGTACAGGCCAGAGGTGCAGGGCTGTGAAAGGACTCACCAGAGACAGAGTGGGGAGCAGAACAGGCAGATGGACTAAGTACACTGCTGAGGGGGCAGCGGGGAGACGGGAGGGCTCTGCTGTGCCCAGCTGGGTCACCTCGGGGGCAGGGATCGAACTCGCACTGAAGCGACTGAGGCTTGCTTGCAGTGCTACAGCCTAACTCGTTGCTCAACCACGGAGGGCCACAGCAGGGATGTTTTATGGAGAGGACCATTTCTGAAGATCAAGGATTTGGGGTATAAGTCACCGATTTCTAGCACAAAACTTGTTTCCCATGCCCCCCAAAGGGAAAGGGCTAGAACTTTCAGAGTTCAAGTGCCACCTCCCTGGTGGTCAGAGGAACTCCACCAGCCACGAGGAGCTGGAGGAACCAAATAGAGCGTGTATTCGGGACCCACCCCAGAACAGATCAGAAAAGAGGCTTGGTTACAAAGTAAGGACATCTGAATAAAGCATGGACTGGAGTTTATGATGTCTCCACATTGGCTCACTTGTGACAAATGCACTATATTAGTTAAGATGTTACTAACGGGAAACCCGTGTGTGGACTGCAGGAAAAAGCTCCCTACTTTACTCACGCTCTTCTGCACATGTATATCTTTCCTTTAAAAAGTAAAACTAAATAAAAATAAAAAAGCAAAAAGAGTGTGAGAAGAAAATAAACACCTCACTGGTGCGGCCCTGTGTTGGGGGCGGTAGGGGATCCTGGATGAGAAGGCGCTGAACGTCCAGAACCAGGGCCCCAAGGGCCCGCGCCAGGTAGAGGAAAAATTAAAAGGGCCGATTGCGCCCTCTGCTGGCCAGAGAAGTCTCTGCTTCTGTTCGTCCCGGACTGCCCCAGACTGTTCTAAGGTTACCGGGCAACTCAAGGTGAATTGGGGTGCCTGTCTGTGGGTCCTCACCCCTACGCTTAAGATTCAGCTGCACACACACACAAACGGTCAACAATGGGTTTATTTACAAGGAAAAAAGAAAAGGAACAACCCAGGGAAAGAGAGAGAGATACAAGTTAACTAATGTGTCTTACAGTTCTGCTGACCTGAGACCCCAACAGCACACTGAAGGCTGAACAAGAGGCCAAGAGAGAGACCCTCAGACCACCGTGTCTGGTTTTATATCCAAAAGCCCAAACAGCTGCCTGATTCAGCCCTCAGGTCCTCACAGTCCTCCCTTCACGTTGCTGGGGTTTGCAGTTTGGGGGCTGGGGTGGGGGTGGAGCCCTGCATCTGTAGAGTGCATCCAGGACAACCTTCCCCCCAACACTAATTTGGAGAATCCAACCGACTCAAGCTACGATACTTCTGAAGCAGACCTGCTCTCACCCAGTTCCCTTCCCTCCAATGCATGAAAGCTTCCCTAGAGGCAAAGTGTGGGAGAAACAACTCGAATCTTGGGACATAGGGACTGCACTCCAGTGCCCGTCCCGCCCTCTCATTTGTTCTTGGGACAAAGGCCGTGACCCCCTGGTGGTGTAGCAGAGCTCTTCAGAGGGTGGACAAAGGGCTTGAAGGAGAGGATGTGGCCCGCACAAGGTGCTGAGGCTCAGCTCTATGAAGCTGTCGGCAGCCTCAGCAGTGTGAGTTGGACCCCCGGCCAGGGAGGGACCCCCATGGGCACAGCAGCCGTCTCCGTGTCCCCGCTGCTCCCTCAGCAGCGTGTTTCAGTTCATCTGCCTGTTCTGCTCCCCACTGTCTTTGGTCTGCACAGCATAAATAAATAAATCTTTTTTAAAAAATAAAAGAAGTCTATCCTAAAGGAAATAACCAGAGACGTTGTCACCCTGGGCTCTAGCCCCTTTCTTTGCAGCTGTATGGTAAACGATGAGGCTTTCCCGCGCCCTCCCGCCACGCCGAGGGCCCCGGGCTTGCGCCTGTGATAACGGGCAGAGCGCGCGGGCGCATGCGTGGTGTAGACACCTGTGCTGGGTGGGGGGGGGGCGGGATGAAGGAGCCGCAGGGAGACCGGAGGGGTCTGCTGCGGCCTGGGGGCCCCTCCCTGGCCCGGGCTCGAACTCCTGCTGCCCTGGCTGTGACAGCTTCACAGTGCTGCGCTTTAACCTGTTGCGCTACCAGGGAGGGCCTGGGAGCGACTGTTCTGCTGCAGTAACAACCCCCATATCGCCAACCTAATGGACCAGGTTTGTTTCTTGCTCACACACGCAATGGGCCCGGAGAGCTTCGGCACCGCTGCCGGCTCAGCGCTCACAACACCGGTTTGGGCCTCAGCGCGTGGCAGTAACTTCCCGCACATTTCACGTCTCTTATTTTAGCAGGTCACGCAGCCTTGCTTCATTTCAAAATGCAGGACGTGCAAGCCCAAGGGGAGAGGGAGCAAAGCAGAAACACTGGGAGCCTCGCTCAGCGTGCCCCGCCATCACAGCCAGCACCCTAAGGTGGCCCCGGGTCCCTGCTTCCTGACACGCCTCGGTGTAACTCCTTCTCGACTGTGACACTGGGTGAGTTGTGTCATCACGTAAGACTCTCTTCGACTGGCTTTGAGGCCATGATGGGAAAGACCGCGCAACAATCATGTGCAATGGGAAATAGAACCTTCTCTAGGTGAGTCTCAGTCCCAGTCAACACCTTGACAGCACTTTTCTGGGATCTACGAGACTGCACAGAAACTGTGACTCAGAACACTGCTTTAAGCCCCTAAATGTGTGATCGCGTCGCTATGCGCAGATAGATGGCTAGGCGACAGAGGCCCTAGCCCAGGCTTCTCCCACCAGCCGGTCTTGCCGTAAAGCCTGGAGGCTTCATTTGAAGACATCCCCTGGGAACGTGGCTGCGCCCTCCTCATACCCTTCCAGCCAGGCTTCACCTTTGAGACATCACTGTAGCTAGTTAACGTGTGGGGGGCTGCGGGTAAACAGCGCCCCCCGGTGGCAGGAGCCGTGCCCATCACGCTCCGCAGTCCTCCAGGGAGCACCCAGCCCCGCGCCCACACTCAACCCAAAACCACTTTCCAAACGATGTTCATCAGAGTCTGGTTTTGTCTTTTGCGCAAACAACAAAATACCTGCAGTGGAGAACTTGGTTCAAAAAAAGTTTACCCATAGGCAGAATAGTTAGCAGTCGTTAAAAAGTGTTTTAGGAAGATAATAAAAATGGGCTAAAAATGCCAAATTAAAAGTAGAATGCCATAGTAGATTGAATAGAGCAGGATCCCAAGTTGCTTTTGCAAAAATATGATACACACGAATATAACTGCACTGAGGGGGAGAAAGTGAAACAGCAAACACCCAGATATTCACAACTAGGAATTTTACACTTCCCAATCTTCTCTGTGACAGGAGGTGCCTGGCACATGACAGGGCTCCATCAACATCCAACCCGTCACCCCAACTCTCTGAGGTAACGGGGTAAGCCACTGGCTCCCGGGCGCTGGCCACCTTGGGCTGCTGAGGCTGCCACCTGCCCCGGCTGTAGCAGACGGGCCTGCGGGCGGCCTGTGTGGAATCTCTGCTTGACCGTGAGCTGAAGTCCCCACGCATCTGTTTCTGTGGAGGCAGCGAGTCCCAAAGAGGTATTTTCATCAAATTTTATGGATTCGACATTCACAAAACTCCTAATTTGGGGGGCACACCTCAACGTGTCACATGCCTGTAACACATCTTACCCCTGCTGGCCCCTGGCCTGGCAACCACCATCATTTTCTTTTTTTTTTTTTTTTAAGAGTTATTTATTTGTGCATACAGAACTGGGGTACAGGCCAGAGGCTCAGGGGCGGCGAGAGGATTCACCAGGGACAGAGCAGGGAGCAGAACAGGCAGATCGACGAAGTCCACTGCTGAGGGAGCAGCAGGGAGACAGGAGAGGGCTACTGCGCCCTGTGGGTCCCTCCCTGGCCGGGGAATCGAGCTTGAGCTGAAGCAGGGCTGTGGCTGGCTTCGTAGTGCCGCACTTTAACCCACTGTGCTGCCAGGGAGGGCCCTAGTTTTCTAAAGGGTTGAGATGAGAGCTGTCTGGCAGAAGTAGAAGCAACAGCTGCTGCTTCTATAGACCAGACCCTGGCATCATTGCCCCCACCGTGCCCCATCCTGTTCTCACTCCTGGAGGAAGGGGACAATTCTGATTTGTAATCAGAAGGGTCAGGGTTCTCTTCCCACCTCTGCCCAGTCAGAGCCTGGGCGAGTTGCTCTGTGGCTGAGGCGGCCAGAAGACCCTGCCTTCCTAGGACAGCTAAAGTCTGTCCACGGTGGCTACTGTCAGTACGGCCTGTGTGCCCCCAAGTCCCAAGGCAGCAACTGAGAGTGGGTGAAAAAGGATGTTTATTTGGGTTTGATTCCCTGATACAGCCACATGTGCAAACACATAAAATAAGGCAAAAATTACTAGGTCGGTAGGACCGCTCTTCCTCCCCTCTGGCACAGTCTGCCAAACTGGCGCCCTGCCTTTCCAATTTCTCCCTTCAAAACCATGGAGTCTGGGGTCCAGGGGTCACTTCTTGGCAGCCTCTGCCTGGGCTGCCAAATCAGCTTCCTTCTGAGCAGCCAGGAACAAGGCCCGCTCCTTCTGGAATGCAGCCAGCTCCTCGGCACTGAGGCTGCAGGCACAAGAAGCCAGTGGTGAGTGATTGGCCTGTGGCTACCCGGCCCTTCTCCCCTCCTAGGCCTCCAAGCCTCTGCCTCTGTCTCCTTGGCCAGGAACGCCACCCTAGCACCCCAACACTTCTGCCTGGAGTGTGCACCAGCAGCAAGTGGATAGTAAAGGGGTAAGTGCTGCCCTGCAGCTGTCTGGCCAGGAGCTCTGCCACCCAGTCTCTCATGTGAAGGCAACAATCACTGAGGTTATCCAAAGCCCCCTGCTGGCCCGAGGACCAGGTTGAACTTGAGACCTGTCTGACTGGCCCCTGTATGTGGCCTCCCTCGGGGGAAGGTGACTCTCCCACTGAAATGTGCCCCCTCAACTTTGCACCAGTCAAGAATTTTCTGGGGCCTCCCCTGACCCTCCCCTCCCTGGACACTCACTCCTTCACCACCCGAATGCCCAAGGAACGGGCAGAGCCAAGAATGGAGCGGACAACAGCAGACAGGGGCACATCTTGTAGGGCGAAGGCATCATCTTGGGCTTTGACGCGGGCAATTTCATACACGTGCTTCAGGCTCACCAGGCCTGCCACCTCTTGCCCTGGGGGAGGAAACAAGTAGCCCAGCAGGTGCCATCACCTCTTTCAGAGCCTCCAGAAACGTAGGTGCCCACCTGGGCCCTCACCTGTGTGCCGGGCTCCCTTCTCAATCCCAGCAGCTGCCTTCAGGAAGTAGGACACAGTGGGTTGTCCAATCTTTATGTCAAATGTCCTGTCAGGCTTCACAGTAAAAAAGAAATCATGAAACTATCTCGTCCTGCTTCCCCACTCCCACTGCCGCAGAAAGTCCCATCACCTCTACTCCAGGCCAAACTCCAGGCCCCAGTGAGATGGAGGGACAGAAGTGCCATGTGGCAGGGCAGGCTCAGAAATGACCAGCTGGTCTACACTATGAACAGGGAGAGTGGCGCCTGGGGCGACTAGCCAGAGCTAAGGGCCCGCAGCAACCTGTTCCAGGGCACCCCAGTGTGAATTGGGGTGTCTGTGGGTCCTCACCGCGTGATTAAGATTCAATCGTACTGGGGACACGCACAGAAAGGTTCGATAATGGGTTTGTTTACAAGGAGAAAGGTAAAGGAACAACCCAGGGAAAGAGGGAAGGAAATACAAGTTAACTAGAGTAGTGTCCTACCAGTTCTGCTGACCCGGACTCCACCAGCATCGTGAAGACCGATCGAGAACCAAATGACCAGCCCGGAACCACCAGGCCAAGAGCCCACCAGAGCCCACATGTCCGGTCCACAGTACGACTGAATCTTAAGCGCACGGGTCAGGACCCACATATAGGCACCCCAATTCACACTGGGGTGACTTGCAACAACCTTAGAGGCCGGGGGGGGGGGTCAGGGAGGACTGAAAGGGAAAGTGAGGATCAGAATCTCAACTCTGCACCTTCACAAAAATCTTGGTGGGCAGGGGAATGCCTTCCTTGATGTCCTTTGTCTTCTCGTTGAACTCCTTGCAGAACTGATTGATGGAGACGCCTCGCTGTGGGGAAGCACAGGGGTCAGCATCGGATTCCCACCACCCCGGGGTCAGCATCGGATTTCCACCACCCCGGGGCTCCATCGGCTCCCACTTCCCGGTCGCCAGGCTCTGACCAGAGTCCATCACTTTCTGTGCCAGCTGACTTGCATGCATTCGCCATCTATCCCACACCCGGGGGTTGGGCTGGGGGCGCTGAGCCCCGAAAGGGCCGTGTCATCGGCTCCAAGGCATTCATCGTGTGGGCAGCAGCGCCGAGCTTGGCCGCGACCCCCCCCCCGCCTGCAGGGCCCGCACCCTCCACCCGGGACTGTGTCCCGCGCTTCCCACGCCGGGTTCCAGCCGCGGCTGCACCTGACCCAGGATGGGGCCCAGCGGGGGCCCGGAGACGGCCTGGCCGGCCCGGACGATGGTCCGGATCACGCCCTCGGCTGCGGGCTTCTTAAGCGTCCGAGTGGCCCGGCTGAGCTTCGACATGCTGAAGGGATCCCGGCCTCAGCGCGCCTCAGTGTAGCAGTTAGAGCGAGCGCCAGGGCGCCGCCATCTTGGGTCAGGGTCCTCACGTTCCGTTTGGGGCGAAGGGGCCTCACGTTCGGTTAGAGCGGCTGAGGCCACAAATGGCAGTTTTGTTCCAGGACTCCCGCTCTCCAGCTGGTAAGAAAACGAGGAGCAGATACAAAGGAAAGCGCTTAGTTCGCCCTGTGACGATGGCGGGGCCCGACCGCCGTGGGCACCGGCGCGCACACAGGCAGTGCCGCGGGCAGCCACACGGGGCCCTCGGCGCCGGCTCGGCATTGTGGGAACAGTAGTTTGACCGCGGCG